GAAGTGGAGTCCTGCAAATGATCCGTCCTCGTACTTCATCAAATTCCACGTTGAGCCCCGCAAGAAATTTGTAAATACGATGAGCCTCCACGGTCCATTTGTAGTGATTGGCATCTTCAGTGGATGTCTATTCATAATCATTGAATAGATCCATGTCCTGCCAAATGCGCTTTAATGAATTGAAATACTTGGTGATCGAGTCTTCTCCCTACCGAATCTCACCAAGTTTTAGAGTCAATTCGTAGATCTGAGACTGATTTCCCAAATCAAAGATCATCTGATTCACGTTGTCCCAGAGCTCCTTAGCCGTGGAGTAGCACATATAGTTGGAGCTAATATCCTCGTCCATGGAGTTCACAAGCCAAGTCATCACCATTGAATTTTCTGCATCCTAGGTCACGTACGTTGGGTCCTCCGATGCTGGTGCCTTCTTGTCTCCTGTCAGGTACCCGATCTTTCCCCGCCCTCTGATGTACATCCGAACGGACTGGGACCACCGTAAATAATTATCACCATTAAGGCGAATATTGGTGATCTGAACCGAGTGAGAATCGGTACTGGAGGCTTGGGTTGTCGGATTTGTTGACTGGGTTGTGATAGGCGAGGATGACATGGAGGAACCGTCAGAGATGGCTGACCAGTGAAGAAAAGAAAATTAGGGTTTTTTTTTTTTTTTTTTTTTCCCTTAGGGTGGCTCTGATACCATATAAACTATAAAGGAAAGATAAATAGAAAAACATTTTCCTCTGTATTAGCACTCAATTCACGAGTTTACACAGGTTCTCTTTATAGGAGAGAATACATGTACATACCTAACTAGCCTAATTAATAATTTCCTATTTTACAGCATTTGCCCAATATTCTATTTACAGAAAATATTCTCCAAATATTATATTTACAACTGATAATATTTGGTAGTATTACTACCAAATCTTTCCTTTTCAACAGAAATAGATGAGACAAGAGTAACAATAGTAGTTATAACCAAGATACTCAAACAATTGGTTATGTATGATCTGCAAATCACGGAGAGCGACAATAGCAAGAAGAACTAGTGATATAGTCTAGAAAGATGCACATAATTGTTATGGTTATCATTCCGCAAAATCTTAGACTTTGAGCGGCTAAGCGATCATGCAAATCGCTTAATGCTTGCACATACAATTAAAAATAATTAAATTTCACATTAAAGACAGATGTGATTCAATTAATTGTGTCAACAGAAAGAGTTTAAAGCTTGCACATGAGCCATCCAAATACGATAATATAAATCTGCAAGTGGGAAGTACAGTAGAAGCTGTCTTTTGGTGCATTTCGGTGGTGGAGAGGCGGACTAAGATCATCTTTTTGTTATTCTAAATTAACATAACTGAGCTCTTCCATTTCATTTGTCAGAAACAATTGATTTAATAGATTACCGTCCTTCCAACATTCAAATTAAAACAGCATTTCAGCAAAATGAAAGGTCATTATACAGTCAAGGATCAAATTTCAACTTCAATTAACTTACTGCCTATAAAAAACACATCACTCCAAAAGTCAGCGAAAGTAATTCACTCTGTTATTTCTATGTTACTAGAGGAAAAAATTCAATACATATATTGGGAAAGAAGAAAAAAATAAAGAAAAGAATGCTAACAAGAGACATCAAATATATATTGAGAAAAGTCCTTTAAAAAAAGAGAACCCTAAAAAGTCTTTGAAAATGAGAACTTTCCAAATTTAAATTAGCACCAGGGACTTTATTAGTTTTAAGAAATACTTAGAATTAAGATCCTCATTTAGTGAATGTCTATAAACATATATTGACCAGAAAGTCAGCAAGAGAAATTTACTTTATTATTTATATGCCATTAGAGGAAGAACTTCTTTAACAACCCAAGAAAAAAAAAAAAATTAAATTGCAAAAAGAAAAGAAATAATATAATGATAGCAAGAGACATGAAATATATTGAGAAAGATAATCAAGAAAGACATTATACACAATTACACATTAAGTCCTTTCAAAAGAAAAACCTCGATTTTTTTTTTTTTTGACAAGTGATCCTCCAAAAAGAATTTTTTTAAGTGAGAACTGTCCAAATTCATATTAACACCGAGGACTTTATGAGTTTAAGAAATTGCTAATGATTAAGAACATTGCATGACATGCTACCAAGATTATAAATACCAAAGGAGATGCAAGGTTGATACCATTGTGTTCAAACCGCCCCCCCCCCCCCCCCCCCCCCCTCTCTGTCTCTCTCACACACACAAAGAGCTTGAATTTATTGTAAGCGTTACTCTCTCTCTCTGTCTGTCTCTCTCTCTCTCTCTCTCTCACACACACACAGAGCTTGAATTTATTGTAAGCGTTCTCATTCAAACGCTAAAAGAACAACCAACTTCTTTCCTGCTATTGTTATGGCTTACATACAACCACTCTATACCTGTGTTTTTCTTCTTGCACTAATTGCATGCAATAAAATTCTACTCACTGAGGGAAGGCAACTAAAATCAGTGAAGAAACAGGAGTATAATTCCAATGAAGGTGAAAGACAAATGGGAACAAAGCATGTCAGCCAAGCTATCAACTCCCAAAATCCTATAGGATGTAAAGAGGATCTTCGAGAACCACACACAGGTCCAGTTCCAAGTGTTGACCATTCTGCTGCAGAAAACAAAGAGATCTTCCAATCTATGACACCTAATCAAAGTCCTGGATTTGATGATTCAGTTGCATCAAATATAGATGATTTCAGACCTACAACACCAAGTCCTGGTTATGGCCATCGTTTTGCGGCACACAAAGATGATGTTCAACCTAAGGCACTAGGAGATGGTCCTGGTCTCACTCACCCTATTGCAGGAAACACAGATGACTTCCGGCATACAAGCCCAGGTCACAGCCCCGGGGTTGGCCACTCTGTTCAAAACTGAAACTCGCAGAAAAATGCATAGACATGTCATGAAACGTATAATATTGGATGCTACTCCTATGTTTGTAAATTTCTCTCCTTGTAGGTCCAAAGGTTGCTTGAAGAATGTATTTTTGTTTCACCAGTTTGATAACTTTAATCGTCTCTTTATGACTCTTATATGCCAAGTATATTAGACCACTCATGCGATGACATACTTGGCTATTGTGTGCAATAAAAATGTTTACGTGTTTATCAACCTACATCATGAACTTTCCTTTTTAGGTCCAAAACTTCATAGCATATCCCTCGTTTGGAGTTCGACTATGTCCAAAACTTCAAACATGGTATTGCCTTGTATTCCTTTTTTCTGAGTATATAATCTAGTTGCCCATATATTATAGAGTATACACATATATGCATGTTTGAGTACGTTTATGGTAGCGAAGATCATGATTTTCTATTATCTTTTGGTAAAATAATAAAAATTTTATTCCACCAAAAAAATATAATATAAAATAGAAGTCTAAACATGTCATTGGCTATCGTGCGCACACTAAGAAACACACCAGAATCACTTGCAAGTTTATAGCCTGACAAACAAAATAACAACCCCTCTCAGTCCAAAATGATAGTCAAACAAGCTAGAGTGAAAATAAATCTTCTCAGAACCCAAGAGGCTAGGCACTACAAGCTCCAACACAGAAAAGGAAAAACAAATTAACCTATGCACCAATCATCATTCTCACAGCTAAAGGAATACAGCCACTATCATGAGAAGAGGAGGTGTCACAGGTCTGAGAGTGGGAATTCACATATGGACCCATCCTTTGAAACACAAGAAAATATATGAATAGGATCATAAACCAGAAGAAAATATATGAATAACAGAGAAAAAGGAGTATTATGCAGATAGGAAGTGACAATGCAAAGAGAACATAGCAATAGGAAGTGACAATCGGGGGCATACTAATACTCCTAACAACTGAGGAAGTTAGCTTTTTCCCACATTTAAATTATCAATTGTGTTAAATTGATTCTAACAATATTTCTAAAATTATCTCCAACACCAATTGCCACGTCTAACTCCAGTCAAGAGAAAGGGATTAAATGAGTCTTTGGAAGCTCCACTGTCATTGTGGGCAACAAACTGATTTATGGAAGTAAATGAAGAATTAATATCAATTTCTTTTAACTTCTTATTTACCAATAAATAAATAAATGGCTATTAACTTCTTATGAGATGAGCACAAGTGGAATCAAAATTGAAAGTTCCTTTGATACACAAACTTCCTCAAAATTAGAATAAGTGTTTAATTGTGATAAAAATATATAAATACACACACATATATATATATACCGTAAAAAATAATTATTTGATTAGCATTTCTTATAATCAGCTTTGGCATGGAAAAGTAGATGTCACTACATCGATTCACATCCGCAAAAACCCTTTTTATGGATGACTTAGAGAATAAAATGAAACTTATTTTTAAAGATCAAAAGCTCAACGTCCCACCAAAAAAGAATACTAAATAAAAAGATTAAAGACTAACAAAATTAAATTCCAAAAAGTGGAAGTGAAAGAAGAGCAAAAAAGCTTTCCAAATAGAGCAAAACACGAATGTTAAGCCCCTTTTTTAATTTTCTTCTTTTGGTGCATGTGCAATAGTGCAAATGAATCCCCAACTCATAAGTCAACTTTTCACGATGGAAAAGAAAAAAGCTAGGTTGGGAAGAGCCAATCAATCGCTTTTTTTAACTTCCATAGTTCATAAGAGAGTAAAAGAGAGAGAGAATTCTCATGGAGCACATGTTCACCAATACCTCTGAAATTTTAAATTTAATAGTGTTTTATACTAATCAATTCAAAGATTATAATTTTTTTTAGTTTTCTAAATTTCAGTGCATAATTAGAAGGAAAAAAAAACTCCATTGCAAACCCTAAACCACAAATCATGCGGTCAAAAAAAAAAAACACACACACACACACAGAGGCTAATCAGAGTTTCTAGTATATAATCACAATCATCATCATCATCATTGTCCTCATCAATCAACGCCATAATTGTGAACAGCAAAGAACTTATAAACGAAACGCACCTTTTATGTGATTGAAAGTCTCGCCAAACCCTTTCTGATATTTCGTGCCATTTCGTTTCTGTCACACGATTTTTTTCCAACGATCACCATTCACCCAGAGCTTGTGAAAATTTAAGAATGTACATTGAGTTTTTAGAAAATATATAGGGAGAAATTTTTTTATTTTTGAAAAAGGTGAGAGAAAAAGATTTAAAGTGGGTTAAGTATATGCAAAGTTACAAGGGTATTTGTTCTCTCTCTAACCCCCTTCGTCTTCATCACTGCCTCCCTGTTTCCGGGAGTGGGGAGATGATGACTGCCTTGCACTACTGCAATAAACTGAGCTAGTTTTAATAAGTGCGTTAGTGTTTTTTAATGTCGTTTTTGTTTTGTTCCGGTAGATCTGTTGGATTCATTTTTGGATCACATGAGCGGATTGTTATTTTTTCCAATTAAATCTTCCATCTAAGTCGGTTTTGGTTTTGGCCCGTCTAGATTTGATTTTTTTTTTTCCTTTAATTTGATTTTGTGCGGAGTTTCTTGGGTGACAGAGTACCTTGTAGTTGTAGTTTTGGATTTGTTATTTTGACGATGATCTGACCTTTAGGTTACTCCATTTTTCTGCGGTCTCCTGTAGTGATTCCGTCGCAAAGTTTTAAGTTTTATTTTCTCCACAAATTTAGAACATGCTCTTTATTTTATTGCTTTACTTCATGATTTGTATGCTTTTTTTAACTTGGTTTTTTGCCTTTGTACTGTGGTTGACTTGATCTTTGTGCCTTTAAAATGGTATATGATATCGTTTTCGTGCAAAAATAAATAAATAAATAATCTAGACAGAAAATGGAAAGTTATAAATGATCTGGTGCTACGTTGAACTGTTCGATCCGAAAAACACTCTCTTTTGATACCAAGTCATTACAGTATTTTATTATATTTAAAAAATAAATAAATAAATAAAATAAAAGAATAAGAAATTAATAACACTTTCTAAAATAGGAGTGCAAGTATTATAATGAATTTACGGTATTTTCTGCACTTTACTAAAATAAAAAAAATAGTGTTAAAAAAAAAAAAAATCATAATCAACAACTGCACCACTATACTCGTATAAGTTTAGATAACAAGCTGATGGAATCACAAAGAGTTATAACCACACATTACTATCAAGTTACACGAATAATACGGCACACAAATACTATATGATATATTGTAGCTTTTGGCTGGAATCTTTATTATTCAGCCGCAAAGTTGGAAAAGTGTGAATCTTTAGAATCTTAGATAGATTTAATTATAGAACAATAGTGGTACTTGTTTATTAATAAACATTTTCTTGGTCATAGTTAATATCTGGCGGCAAATTAATTAGATGGTGTGCAGCCAAGAAAGTCATTATGATTTTTTTAGTTGAAAGAATCTGATTTATGTTGGTAGCAGCCAAGAAATACAGTTAGATACAGTAATATATATATTAACCTCTAATCAACACCATTCAGTTATTATTAAATTTTGTTCTTAGTGGCATGGGAGAGGGAAAGCTAAAAGAATCTCTCCCCCACATTCTTTGGGCATGTTAGTTTGATAACTATTCTGGTACCAACTTGTATTTCTTTATTTTTTTTCAGGAAAAAAAAGAAAAAATAAACAGGAAAAATATAGAAAAATAAGCAGGAAAATGTAAACGACCTTGGAGTTTGTGGATCGAAAAAATCATGAAGAGGGTTGAGCAATGGAGTCGGTTTGGGCCTACGTTGGGCCTTCTCTGTTTCTTTTGATCCAATCTAACAGTCGTTTGGCCCATGAACAGAATACCTTTTTCTTTTTTATACAAGCATTACCTTCCCAAAAAATAAAAATAAGAAGAGTACGGTTAGCTGTTAATAGGTACGGAGTAAAATGTTTTCACTGTAGGGTGAAATAAGATTTTAAACAGCAATTATAAATTATAGTAACATATATATATATATATATATATGCACGCATATTCCCTCGATTGAAGTATTTAAGATAGATTATTTAGAAAAGAGCAATTATGTTGTGTTGGATATGATTATTATATTTTTTTGGTAATTAATTTTTTTTTTTTCACTTGAACCATATTCGACCTGATTATGTTAATGTGAATAAATTTTTACTTATCAAAGTGCAAGAAATCATTACTCCTTTAAAAATGATTGTAAATTGTAACCTATTAGAGTTTGGATCCCTTGTTCTACAACATCGTGAGAATAAGAATGTAAATAGAGGTTAGTTTTTGAGTTTTAATTCTAGCAGCATTTCCAAGTTGAAGCGGGTTTTCAAAGTAAGGTTAAAAAGGACTTGGTTGCCAAAAAATAAATAGATAAAATAAAATAAATTTAAAAGGACCTAAATTGAACTTATTTATAGGCTTTGGGTGGACAAAATTTAATTAACTCTTTTTAATGTTTTCAAATTACTATTAACAAGGAAAAATAATAATACTATTAATAGGGGACTATTAATCTGCCTCTAATATCAGCCCCATGATACAACATAGGATATATATACTAAGAAAATGAAGCAAAAGTTCATGCATGCAAATCAATATTCTTAATTTAAAAGTTGTACATATACCAAATGAAAAGAAAATGAGCGCATGATGTTGACATGCCTATTGTTACTTCATATAAGTATTGCAAGCTAATTATAAGCTGTGTCGACATACCTACCGTTCTTGTCTAGGTTATTTTAGTTTAATTACTTGGAAAATATTTGGACATTTTGATGTCCACCACCTTTTTTTCTAGCGCTGCATGTGTACGTTTGCAGGCAAACATATATACTATGAGTCTATGTTTGGGACCTCACATGCTTAATTCACCTTTTTAGCTCCTTAAATATCGATGAAGCCAGCCCAATGGAGGAGTGTCCTCACCTTCTTGTGACCTAACTCTCTCAACCTTTGAAACCAAGTTTTATTTTTATTTTCACTTCTCTAACCATGACCAAGTTCACATGCACTTGTTTGTTTCTTCTACTTGTGATTTCCTCCTCCGAATTCCTTTCCACCCAAGGAAGGAATTTGGAGAGAGGAAAGAACCTCAAGTGTGTGAAATGCTTGAATCCCAAGGTAAAAATAAATCCAAAACCACCTAGCCAGCTGAAACCTGGTTTTGGGACAATGGATCGAGGCTATGTAGAAGCGTTTCGACCCACAACGCCCGGTCACAGCCCTGGTGTTGGTCACTCCGATCACAACTAAGGTGTTACGTACAATGCTTCTTCTAGTACTGTACGTACGTTATGATGCCTAGCTTCTTGTGCATGTGGTCGTAAGACGTCTTCGTTTGTGGTGTTATTAATGGTGTTATATATGATGCTGCTTGTGGTTGTATGGCATCTTCATTGGCCTATGTATTTGCATTTATTTTCATTTAGGATTGAAGAATGTAAATTATTTCACTTGGATCTATATTGTTTAAGACAGCCTGCTTTGTATTTAAGTGTGTAATTTGAATTTGGTATGTACTTCCACTTTAATATTATAATTTAATCTATAATTGTGTTATTTAGAACAAAAATTATTCAAATCAATAATGCATATCAACGTTTTGGACTTATTCAATGTATTCAAAGGACAAGGACAAAAATTGATTTCAGTTAGACTGTTAGGTCTTACCGTCATTATCTCTCACATAGTGGGCGATAGTCTTTGAATTTTTACAATCAAGATCAAACTCTTCATGAGATTCATAGTTGCATTACTTATAACTTCCTTGTTCGTAGACAAAGTTGATTTAGAACTGTCATTCATTCCAAGACATAAATTGCATGTATCCATGCACTTCATATTTGTCAAGAGTTCACTCCCATAATATAGCCATCCAACAAGCCTCTTATCCATTCTCATTCAATCACGGGGAAGCAAGTCAAAATTAAAAAAACTCACATTGTGTTTAGGGATAATCATGTTCAAATTGATGACTTCCACCACATTAGGGTGACACTCTACGGTCCGATCTATTGCTTAGTTATATCCTTTGGCTGCCCCATTGAAAAATGGAACTGATTAATCCTAAGGCAAATGGTTGAGAAACTCAACGACACTATTGTTGAACAACTTAGAAGCTTGACTTACCAAAAAAAAAAAACTTAGAAACTTGCGATTTTTTCTCTAAATCCCATGGTTAAAAGCCCGAGCTCAAGATAAGAATGCAATGCCCCATGATAGATTTGTGCACTGTATAGCAAACTTAATTTTGAATCCTCGTTAGGTTTTCATGATGTTAATAATAACTGCTTAATTAGAATGCCACATTATGATTGAAAATACTAATTACAAAGAAGATTAACGATAGTATAGTAAAAACAATTCTATTTTAAATAGGTAAGAAATTAACCTATCCCAATTTAAGAAAAATAACTTTCAAAACGCCTCACATTTGTGAGATTAAACGACCAAGTAAGACTGAAACAGAAATATCACTACAAAGATACTATCCCATTTTTTATTTTTCTTTTAACTTTGAAAGAAAAATAATAATAATAAGCCATGTATTTTTTTTTTTTCTTTTTCGAAGAGAAAATTAGCCATGTACTGCTCTATATTGCTGGCAAGGTAGATCTGAGTTCATACTGATATTGAGAGCAACTCCATGCAAGAAGAAGAATTTTTATTTTATTGTTTTTTAGCTAGAATATTGACCATACAGATGTTTAACATAAACAAAAGCAATTCTATTCCCTACTAAATTTTTCCTTCTTGTTTCTCATTTCATGAATTCCTCTCTTTTTTTAACCATTATATTATTTTTCACTTTAAAAATCCTCTAAAGTATTATAATTACAAGTTACACATAGTTATATATTCTATCACCTCAATTTGTAGAAAGAAAAGAATATAATTAAATGAAATTAAGGCAAAGTAAAGCCGACCATGTTATAATTACATTAGGTACAAGTTTGATTTTGATTGCAATTGAAAAATTAAAAGTCCTGCCATGAAGTTGCTTCGAAACCAACAGGAAAGTAGTACTAAAGAAATCCTTCACCAACCCCAATAAAAAGAAAAAAAAAATGAGATTAATTATAACATATCACAATGGAATCAAATAGGACCGGAGCTACTAAACAAAGCTTGGATCCACTAAATATTGTCTAGAATTTGTATATTGTGTGTGTATTGAGAAAATTATATATATATAAGTCCCATTGAACTCCCCCAAGCTGGGGAAACCACCTTTTGATTCTTCAATTCATTTCTTGCCATTAACTGCAAAGGAATATTCTTGTATATGTACATGGTGGTTAATGATCATGTTAGCCCAACTTTTGAAAGGTCATATAGCCTTTAATTTTGGCTGTAAAGTTAGGTTTCTCTAGCCCTAAAAATTAAAGGCAGACCTAGCTAGCTCATGCGAACCGTTCAAATAAACAGTATTCTTATGGCCAGTGGGAACCGGAAATAGTACAATCTCTGCTAGCTATATTTTAAATATTATACCCTAATGCAACCTTTGAGTTCATTCAAAGGTAATAGAATCTGTGGAAGATATATATACATACAGCTTAAACTGGAGATTCCAATCACCTTGGAAGGATTTCATATACTAGCTATCTTTTAAGGTGTGATCTTGGGTCAAGATCTTAAATTAAAAATATCTAGTAGAATATTACTTTAGTATAACCCTAATTGTAGTGGTTGTTAGGTCTTCCTACCACATTGGCATTAAGATACAAAATGGAGTCAATTTGATATACGAAGTGCTCAAAAGATTTATTAGAGGAGTCTAATTTGATATGTGAAGTGTTCAAAAGTTTATTAGAGTATTAGAGGGTATGTATACAATTAAGCTAAGTCAAGCTAAGTGATAAAAATGTAGTACTCAAGCTAATATTCAAGCCAATTAAGCTTGAGCAGGTTTTTACTTAATTATTAATATTCAAGGCAATTTGCTTGTTTATGTCGCAAGTTCAGCATTGATTCCTTATAGTCACAATCAGGGACGGATCCATGAATTTGGTTGGAAGGGGCATATTAATATATATGAGAAAAATGTAAGAAAAAAATATATAAAAGAACTTTGAAAGGGAAAAAAATAGGTTTAGTTGAAGACAGAAAATGTAATTTTTTTTTTTAAGTGAATAAAAAAATGAAGGCCTGAGAAAAGAATTTTAAGGGGCATTAGAGAGACAGTTTGGAAAAAAATAATTTTAGAGGG